GATGATGATGATGATGATGATGATGGTGGTGATAATGATAATAATAATATATTTTAAGTTTAAATATATAAAGTATTTTTTTAATTTATCAAAGGGTTAGAAGAATATGTTTTCCTTCTAAACAGCTTTTTTTTTAATTTTTTAAACAAGTTTCTAAGCTACTGAAGTTATGAAAGTTATTATTATACATAGCAGCTTAAATAAAAGACAATCATGAGTCTAACCACAGCTTAAATATTGAAAACTCAATTTTAGATTACTTCACAATATTCCTTATCAAAATTCGAGAACGCAGTTTTGTTTCAAAATATCCTTATAAAGAATAGGATTAGCGAGGAAATTTGGCTTCCGTAGAAAACATAAATATCAAATGACAAATTGAAATACGGCCAGTACATTTCGCATATACTATTAGAAGCTTTGACTTGCACATATCGAGAAATGTGCTTCCTGAAACATTTAGGAACGTGATTGTTTTGAATACGTGGACATTCTTGTGGACATATGCATAAAAAAATTTAGATTCTCTGCTAGGAACACACCCCATTGGAAAAAGTACTTATTTTCTAAAGCGTGGATGCGTTAACGACTGAACTTCCATATTCATGTTCTCTCTCATGGGAGAAATTTTTCCTTCAACATAGCTTTTTTATTTTTTGGAAATGTTTTACGTGCAATCATCACGTAACAAGAGATCGTGGCTAGGACTTCGTGGGTATATAAGTATAAAATATATATTAAGGAGCTTAAAGTACAATATGTAATCCTTAAGTCCATTTTTCTACGTTATTTATATGCGTATCAATACAAAAGGAATTTCATTGATCAGGATTTTGTCAAAGCCTGTCTACCTATGCATCTAATTCAGCGTTGTGTAAACGATACGTCACAAACCTAATAAAATATATATTATAAAAAATTGTTAATTTTACATTGCAGCGTAAGTTGCTGCGAGCTTGATTTTCAATAAAACTCGCGTAAAGCAGCTGACGCTACAATATATCAACAAGAACCTCTCGACTAGAGTGACTGATTGTTCTGTTGCATATGTATCTGCAAAAAACAATAAAGTATACCGGCCTGTGCCATTACGTCCACAGTCCCTGCAGCTAACGGATCCCGACTTTTTGCGTCAGATCGCGAGTTCGTGCCAGGACGCAGAAGCGTTGGTCCGAACACCGTTGCTAAATTGTGCAAGGACATTTTATTTTGAGCCTCGTGTTTATTAACTCGTATCAAATGAGCAAGTAGAAAGTCGATAACTGCCTTATTTACGACTGGCAGACTTTCATATACTCTTCTAAGAGCAGCACCTTTTGATAACTCGCCACTTTGGAAAGCTTCTAAAAATGCCGGATAAAGAGCATCCGTGAAAAGAGCTTCCGGCATTTCGCGAAGATATAACTTGAGCACGCCCGTTACCGAGTGAACGTCAACCTAGAAATGTAAAAGTAATAAATCCATATTAATAGAATTAATATTATTCGTTAGTCTTTGAATAATAAGTTCTTTAAAAAGAAAAAGAATTTTATCTTATCATATTGTGTAGTATAATAAATACCTCCTTAAGCAACTGTTCTGCCTCATACGAATTGCTTTCGAATGATTTACGCAATTTTGTTAAATCGGAAGCTGAGCCAGATACACGATATAAACCCACTTCTCCAACTCCTCTCTTCTCCACCTCTCTAACACAGGCTGTTATAATAAAAGGAACATCGCGCTTTTCACGTCTGTAGAAGAAACGTACATAAACATTTATTGTGAATTAGAAATGTGATGAAAATTCATATAATCATGAAACATACTTGCACACTTGTTGGATTTTAGCTCCAAATAAACCTTGAGGTTTAGCAGATGGTACCCGTCTTAATGTCACTTCACTTGGAACGAAACGAAGTGCTACGTCTAACGTAGCTGGTCCTAAATTTAATGATCTCTCTACTTGATCTGACTGAAGCCAAGATCTACTTAATCTTTGTATACATTTGCCTCGTAATACAGAACGTGTTCCACATTCTTCATACAATAAAATTCTAACATTTTGACTTCCCTCCAGTTCCACAACAAATGTTTCAACTTTAATAAATTAAAAATATTTAATTAAAAAGAATTTATTTGTTTAATTTTAGAATTATTTTTAATTAAAATAAAAACTGTACCCCAGGTTGGAGCTTGGCCTCTTGCAACTCGACTTCTTGCTCGTTTAAAATAATGTCCGTAACTATCGACTTCTACAATAATGTAAAGATCTCCCACTCTATCTAAACCTGGTGGAGTCAAACCAAGTAAAGTTAAATGAAGGTCGCCTAATAATAAACTTTCATCGCGTCCTGATCTCAGTAAATAACTTCCCATATCTGTTTGAAGATAAGTACGACAGGCTGTAACCCAAGCCTGTAATTCATACATTGATAAAGGTAGAGGTCCTGGAGGTTGTCCACCCTGAAAAATTATTATTTATCATTTATTTTTCTTCTGTCAAATTTATGTAATGATCTTTTTAAGTTATTGTTACTCGCACCCTTGTGTTGGATTTAAATAAAATGCATTATTAAGTATTTTTATATTTATTCGAAATCTGTAAATTACGCACCTTTGACTTATCTAGGTACATATGGGAACGCATTACCTGTTGCAATGCCTCCACCGCTTCAACCCATTGAGAACGTTCAAATTCACTGGATAGAAAGAATGTGTAAGAGTTTTGTACTCGATGCTGACTTTTATGCGCAACGCGTAATACTAAATTTGGGGATGCTAATACTAATTGAGCTTCAAGCTCAGCAAGCTTCTTCCTATTTTTTTCTGAACCTCTACCACCTAATCTAATACGTTTTTCATCATTTCGTTCTTCCCATAAAATCTGATCACGTACTGTACATGCTTGTGACCTAAATATGTAAATGTTAAAAAGGAAAAAATAATTTTCATAACATATAGATTCGTATTGGAAACAGATAATATATTTTTATACATACCTCAAAGCTACAACATTTGCTGGACTAGTCTCACGTGGTTCAACACCATCTTCTGTCACTACTGCCTCTGCCACTGGTACATACCACTTTAACTCAAATGTAAATTTATCTCTACCAGAAGCTTTATACTTTGCACAGGCGATTACATCATTAAAAAGGAAAAGATGTCTCAACTTTCTATGACCATCAGACAGTTCTACCACAAATGAGTTTTTCACTAATCTTCGTTGTGCTCTGTCATGACTCTAAAAACAATGTAAATTTACATAACACTAATGTAACTAAAAGTCTTAGAAACTATGATTATAATTTATTTACCGGAAACATTGATTTCGTCTGAATAATATTAAATTCGTCTAGGAAGTTTCTAGTCATAGCAAGAGCTTCTGAAAGTGGTGCATGATCTGCATGATTCACGGGTGTGTGCTTAAGAAGATCCTACAATCAATTGAACGCAAACTGTGATAAGATAAAATTTACGAAGTACATTTCCACATCATTTTATCAACTTATCCAATCAACATTCTATCCACAATATATTTATATATCAATATAGATTTAACTAATATAATGAAAACATAAACGATATGGTACTCACATGCAATACCAGTGCATTTTTTTGTACTCGAGCTACTGGCTTATGTAAAAGATCTTCAAGAGATAAACCTGGTCCTTTTGGAAATCCCCTAAGCCTTATGTCTCTTGTAATTTCACCGAACTGCGTCGAATGTGCAGAACACCTTCGCACGGTATCAGTAGCACGAGCATAATTATGTAAAAAAGCTCCATATAATCCTATGTTGCTAGCCATTACCTTCATTTGCAATTCGTAAAAGAGTGCACATCAATAAAATGATAGGATAAATTTTATAATATTGTTATGATAATATATTTAATTCTTACTTTAAATTGTTCACCTATAGTAGTTTTACTGTCCCATTTCTCTAATTTTTTTCTAAGACCATCCAAAAATGTCTGATGTAGTGCATGTAATTCGGGAATTTTATAAAACATCGTTCCAAATTCATCTTCAGATATAACAGGTTGTGATGTTGTTAATGTTGCCCTGATGGCTTTCATGTACTGAAAAAATAATATATCCTTTTAGTTAAAGTAATGTTATTTATATATATTATTTAAAGCGATAGATAAATCACATACTTGTAACATTACGTTTAAACATTCGACATAAATAGTTTCACTCTCTACCACTGAGTTTACGATACATTTAATCATAGATGTTCTATCATCTTCACGGTCTTTGCTTTTTTCCTGTCGACGAGGTGTAGTCGGTGTCGGCGATTCTAAGCTACCTTCACTTAGGCTTAAAGGTTCCGCATCACTACTACCTGTTTCATTATCGGTACTAAGAGCACGTAATAAAATTGGTGGTGCAGGACTTGCACCTTCCTCGTCCTCACTATCCATTGCCGCTCGATGTCTATAAAAAAACGAATACATTTATTCAGAAATATAAATATTATAATTTTAAAGACAATAATGTTTAAATGTAAATAACTTACTGTATAAAATAATCAATATTGACATAATTGCTCTGATTCCCTGGTGAATCTGGTAAGGAAGGTGGTCTCCTTGGTGGTGCTCTACTGCCATTATTGTTTCCAACAGGTGGGACACGTGCATCAATATATACATATTCTCCTGTTTGATCTAAAGCTACAGAATCATAATAAGGTTCTTCTTCTGATGCTTCTGCATCACCATCTTCTCCATCTTCATTAACTGCATTTTCTAAATCTGAATGTTAAATGTGAATAAAAATAAATTGAATATAATTATAAAAAAGCAATACAGAATACATACAATACCTTTTTCATCTTCCTCTTTAAGAGATTCTTCATTTTTGTCTTTCTTTGAACTTCCTGTCACTTCAATTACAGTGATATAATTACTTGGCACATCTGGGTCACTGTTTCTTCTAAGTTCAGGCACTTTATCAGGACTCCTTGGTATTTCACTTTTGGGTCTTTTGCTTGTACTAAGAGTAGAACTCAGTTCAGAAACACACTTATCCTGGAATTTACTTATATCTTCGCATACAGGAAGAGGTGGAGCTGATGATTCCACATGTTGAATATGAGATGAACTTGTACAATCAGTCAAATTATTCTCTGTTGTTTGACAAATATGCTGATTTTGAGATTCTGTAGGCTGTTGTTTCTCAGGTGTTGTTGCAGCATTATTATTAGCTAATTGTTTATGACGTTCAACATCAGCTAATAATCTCTCTAAATATTCAACATAAAATTCTTCTTTTTCAAGTTCTTCTCTCAAAGCAGTTACCTGTTAAAATAATAATAATTGTTTCTACTATTTTGTTTGTAATAACATTAATAAAAGTAAATAATGAGTAATTCATCTTTTTAACTTATGATATCAAAACTGAGATAAGCAGCAAGTGACGAATCAGTAACATTAAACCAAATGAGGAAACTCAATAATAAAATTTCATGTTCTTAATAAAGCAGTCAGTTAAATATATTTAATGATTTAATTTTCTTTCCAGGTATGAAATATGCACATATGGAATAATTTTTTATGATATTCTAAAATAAACAAATTTTTAATTAATTTTAAATTAATACATTGTACAAAAATACAATATTATATTAAAAATATGAGATATCGTTATATATAAATTAAGTTAATTTCCCAGTTAAGTAAGAAATTAATATGATGACTCATAGAATAAAGTTCCCAATGCTTCAATAAGGAGGAAAGTTTTATATAATAAGAGCTACAATTTTATTGAACAAACTTCTTTAAAATAAAAATTTCAATTAAATTTTCTAATAAAGAAATACTGATATAATTTAATTTTAATACATAATAGATATTAAGGTAATAGTATTATAAACATATAATACTTTTTTTATTAATTTAGTTTTCTTAATATTAAAAAACTTAGAATATAACATATACTAATTATAAATAATATATCATCTTTTATAATAAATTATTTAATTCAAAACATAGGAAACCATATTCTATAGTATACCATGTGTTTAATATTTATAATTTATGATTAAATAAATCTACAATAAAATAATGATCAAAATTGTTGAAAACTTCGTTTAAAAGAATCTTTTTTCCCTATTAGAAAATAATAATATTACTTTTAATTAGGCTTTTACCTTCTGTTTATGCTTGACTAGGTTGGCCCTGACGTCCTCTTCCCAGGCCGCCGGCAATGCGCTGTCCGGGAATCTTTGTACCCAGACACGCTGGAAATCCCCGAAAACGCTCATTACTCTACACCAGACCGTTTAAAAAGAGGACTCCTCGGGGACGTTGACGATCTTAAGCACGATTCAGACCGCTGTGTACATTGCACGGGCGCGGCGGTCGCGGCTCTCACCCGAATTCGTGTGATTATGATCTCGTTTCGACGCAGAGAAGTTATTAAGACGAACTTGTCACTGTAACGAGGCATAAGTCGTTCGTTTCGTTCGCGAACAATTTTCTTTCCTGGTACACGTTAAACCTATATCCAAGAAGTGACGAAACGAGCGTCATACAACCGCTGTCATCTTGTCGACATCTCCTACGTAGTTCACGATCCGATCCCCATGCCCTCTCCTATCATTTTGATGCCTCAGCTATATTCTGTTCGCGGACACTGCCCTTACACCCAGCAGGTGCGCTTCACGGATGATGATACTTTTCACGGTGCGCTTACGCAAAATAGAAATTCGTGTTTCTTACGAAACGCAGCAAAAATCTTGCATTTTTTCTCCTCTATTAAATAGAAATTATACTTATTTGATAATGTAATTGAATTAGTAATAATTTTTAATGTTAACTATCTTTTGAGGGACACGTATAACGTAATAATATATGGCAATAATTTTACATAATTATTTAGAACTATTGTTACGCAGATTCTAGAAAATATAAAAGTTGTCCTGCTTCTAAAAGTAGGATTATATTTAAGTTTATTTTAATATTATTATCAACGAAGATAACTATTTTAACTATTTTAAATTTAAGAATATCAAAAACAATTTTTGTTATAATACATCACATTTTATTATTGTATTTAAAAAATAATATATGCTACCTCCTTAAGTTAATTTTTAAACATATTCTCATTATTAATTTGAAATCAGGTAAAAAGAGGTGGAACTTTAAATTTTATTTCAAACTAAAATCTACGTGGTAACAAGTTTTTAAATAAATACTTAAACAAGTAGTTATTATTAATAGTAATTATAAATATTATGCTTGTAAATACCTTATCCAAATCATTAATATGCTCTACGATTGCTTCAATTATGTTCCTCAATCCTCTTCTATAATATATATCTACTAACTCTATAGAAATCATTATGACGCCACGGTGTGCGTATTTTAAACCAAAATCAAACAGCGGGACATTTAAAAAAATAATTCTGAAAAATAGTTAATTAATTATATTTACAAAACTATAAATTTAAACATCAAATTGTTTTAACATATACAGTATAATCGTAATCTAAATATATTTTGATGTCAAAAAATTATTAATTAAATTGAATTTTTTTTACTTACTTTTGCTAGTAGCTGTACGGGTGTAGCTGTCAACCTCGTTGGCAGTATAATTTAGAGGTTATATTTCTTTTAAAAAACTAGCGAATTTTCATTATTTTCTTCATTCATTTATAAAGATATCAAACATGGATGAGAGACAAGAAAGTCTAGTATTGCAAGAATTATTAAAACATATAAAATTAAAATCGATAAGCGGAATTTTATCATGTTTAGCACGGCTTCAAAACGATTCAAAGTGCTATAAGCAATTTGCCAAAAATGGAGGATTAAGCATTTTAGTAAATTTACTTCATTATCATAATACAAAAATACTGAATATGACTCTAAGTATTTTAGCAAATGCTTGTATGAATTCAGATGCAAGAGAAAAGGTACATGTATATTTATTCTCGTACATTTCTAAGATTAATTAATAAATTTTATCTGTTGAATAGGGTATCCTTTCTATACAGTTTGTTTATTCATAACAGCGTAATGTTCGTAACTTTAAATATGTTACTTGTTTTGTAGGTCAAAGGATCTAAAATAGTAAGTCGTGTAGTTACTATAATAAAGCATATCAAACTAGGAAATACTATACACTGCCGAGCTTGTAGACTCATTGGAAATTTATCTGAATGTAATTGGCATGCAAAATCATTATACGAAGCTGGAGCAATTCAAGCTTTGGTTGATCTTTTACAATTAGATATATATATGCAAACTTACTTAATGGGCATCAGGGCTATAAGGTATTAAAAATATAATTTATATATCAATAATATTGTTATATCAAATAATAATTTTTATTAACTTATATATGTTTTTATAGAAATATTTGGAGCATGCATGAAGGTAGTAGAGAAGAAATCTTAGAATCTGGAGTAATATTTAGAATTACAAGTTTATTAGTATTGGCAAAGGAACAATCAGAGACAAATGCAAAATATGTAACATTAATAGAAACCTGTTTGAAAGCAATGTGTGCTTTTTTGGCCACACTAGATCCTCGAGTTGGAGAACAATTACGAGGAGAAAAAGACATACAGGGTTACAAATGTATTGTACAATGCTGTGATATAAATAATAAAATGGCAATTAGATGTTTATACAATCTTTGCCAAATTGCAGAATGTCGTCCTATTTTAGGAAATTTTGGTGCTATTGAAAGTTCCATTGCTCTTATCAAAGATCAATTAGAATTGTCTAAAGAGACATTACTTAGTTTATGTCTGTTTTGTAGAGAAGCGATAAATCGTGCGAGGATTAGAATGGGATCGGGTTTAGAATTAATGTTATCTTTGTTAAAGGATACAAAATATGAAAAATATCATCCCATGTTATTACATGGTTTAGCACAATTTGTTTTTGATAGTCCAAGTATTACAATAATGATAAAGAACGGTGTACTTGATGTCATAGTTGCTAAATTAAAAAAAATGGTAACTGAAATAATATCCAATAAGGAAGCTAATGTTTCAAGGAAAAGGGAAAATGATTCTCCTCCAAGTAAACAAACAGAATTAAAATGCAATAGGACAAATTTAGGACGGTACGTTTGCAATGTTGTTTTTAATTTAATATTATAGAAAATATAAAATCAGAATTTTTTATTTACAGATTTAGTTCAGATTATTACCGAAATGATTGGAGTCCAGGCAGTGCTACTAGCGTGTCGTCTTCACCTCCTAGTACACCACCATTACCTTTTTATGATTCTATTGAAAACGACGAAAGTACTGAAGATAATTACAGTCCAATTTGTAGTGATACGGAGATAATGGATAACGATGATGGTAAATTTATCCATATATTTTATAATAATTCTCACAAAATTAATTGAAAACAGTAACTCATACTTATTTTTTTAGAACCGCAAGAAGAAGTAGAATCATTAAAAAGTTGTAAATCAATAACTATAGATGTAGAAGAATCTCAAAATTTAGAAAAGGGAAATAAATCGAATGGTTGGGAATATGCATCTATGTGTCCACTAATATTATTAAATAGATTGAGTTGCTCAAATGATCCAGTTGAACAATTGGCTGATCCCGCGACTATTGAAGCATTATCAGCCTACATCAGACACACTAAGCATCCAAGAGCGTCTAGAATTTTAACTACAATCATACGGCAAGTAAAAAATATCTCATTTTATAACTAAAGCTTATGTTATTTAACACAAATTTTTTTTATATAGTAATGGAGCATATTTAATACCTTTGTTAAAACAAGGCTTCGTTTTTGAAGCTCAAACATTATACGGTTCTGAACAGTACACTAGAGAGTTGTGTGCACTAGCAGAAACTGATGGAGCAATAGGTGAACTTACATCTATATTACTTCGCGGAGAAGAAGCTCATAAATTAGTTATTGCAGTTTCGATACCATTCCTGGTGAAATCACGACACATTCTAAAATCGCTGTTGAACAATCATGGTGGTCTTCGATTAATATTTAATGTTTTGTCTGACCAACAACATAATCTCCACGAAAATGCTATTTGGTCAATTTGTCGACTAGCAAATACATTGGAAATCCAACCTGAGATTATAGAAAAGTGTCAAAACACAGACATCACTTCAACTGATTTTCCAAGAGTATATGATAATCATCCAAAACCTGCAACAGTTACGTTTGAACTAGACGATGGTACAACCATCGACGCTTGTAGACAAACACTCTGTCAAAAATCGGACGTCTTTTCCGCGATGCTTGAGGGAAATTTTTCAGAATCCGGAAGAAAACGTGTAAAACTACGAAATACATCGAAAGAAGGTCTTAATACATTATTGTTAGCTGCAAATGGAGCGACTTTTGAAAATAGAACTATCGAGTCTTTATTAGATGCTGTACTGTTGGCTGATAAATTTCTTATGGCAGATATATCAGATATTCTTACGGAAAGTTCTATTTCTAAATTGAATTACAAAAATTTCAGTAGAGCTTGGAATTGGGCGAGAGTGAATTCATGCCACGAACTGAAAACCTGTTGTGTAAAAAGATTTTTAACAGCTTCAATGACAAAGTCTGAAAGAGCCCAAGCATTTCAAGATTTTTCTAGCAGCGGAAGTTTTCATGAATTTCTGGACGATGTAAGAAAAGTCATTAATTGCGTTTTGTGCCAACGTTAATAAGAAATTAATTTTGCATAATTGTGATATTTGATAGAGACGACATAAACGGCTATTTCAACTATTTAGTTGATGTTCTCTAAATAGGATGCACTTAATGAAACTTTTATATAGTTACAAATTTTATTCATTCTGTACCTTGATTATGATTATTGTGTATATATTTTAAAACGTGAAATTTATATATATATATATAAATAAATATATATAAATTTCACGTTTATAAACAATTTATAGGTGTCATTTAATTAGAAATATATATATTTAAATGCTGATAATTATAATGTAAATAATCAACCTACACATGCACTCACGCGCAATACACACGTGCGTGCCTGTGAGTATGCGCGTGTGTGTATGTATGTATGTATAATGGCGAAAATATTTGAATCTTAGTTTCTTGAGTATAATTGTATACAGATAAGATATTATTGCTTCAAAACAAACGAATAAAAACATAAACAGTAAAAGATATACTTTCCTGCTCTTAAATGTTATTTCGTATTGTTACATTAGCTACTGGTTTCTCTCCATCAACTTTAATTTTATCGACTCTGATGGTACAGAAATCAAATGTAAAATTAATTTTACTTGGTCCTTATTTATACAATCTATTTTGAATGATTTAACAAGCTGCAATTTTTAACATAAAAATATATAAATTCATTAATTTTTACACTATATTAATTTAATTACTCGCGTACCTCTGCTAATGCAAGCGATATTTGTATTTCTGCTAATTTTCGACCAATGCAACTTCTAGCACCTAAAGCAAATGGTAAACTTGCATGTGGATGCACTACACCTTGATAAGTACCTTTTTCTGTCCTAATCCATCTTTCTGGAAGAAACTCATTTGGTTGCGAAAAATTCGCAGTATCGCGACCGCTTGAATAAAGTGATAATACAAGTAATTCCTGTAATAAAATGTCATGCAATTTAAAAAATTTTTTTCAGCGTTTTATCGATATGTTTATGTGAATGCTATGTAGTATAAATTCATTTACCCCTTTTGGAACAAAGTAATTACCAATCACATTGTCTTCTGGTAAATATCTAGATATAAATGGAGCTATAGGATATAATCGAAGAGATTCTTTGATTATACCTTTTAACAAAGGTATTTGTAATAAATCTCTTTGAGGAAGATCTTTTAAGTTCTCAAATAATTCTTCTTGTTTTTCAGGATGATTACACAATAGCAACAATATCCACTGCAAAGTGGTCGCTGTCTAAGCATAAAGTACAGAATTATCTTCTCAGTATTAAGAAACAAACATAATAAATAACAATTATTATTATAATTTATACAAATATGTAGTTCTCAAAATTCAATTTTAATTTTGAATATTTATTCAATTTTCTTCTTTTCATTTTAAAATTGATTAAAAAATTTGTATTCAAATTTGTATTTTCTTGATTAAATAGATGTACTTGATCTAACCGTATCACCAGCTGCTAAGATGAAGTCGGTAACAATGCAGATTACATCTTCCGGTTTAATGCCTTCATCCATCATTTTCTTCATCAAACCATTACCACCCAATTTAGTCATTTCCGGTACCAGAAGTCGAACAATTTCGAAAGCTGTATCTGCAGATGTAACAAATTTCTTCCAAACAGGTAGGTGTAGGTTCATAGCTAATTTAGCTGGTATTATGGATAATTTAGCCGAGTATTCGAATATTTTCTGCAGCGTTTCCGCTAATACTTCAAAGTCTCGAGATAAATATTGCTTGTAAGAGTGCCAACATGATCCCATCAACGTGGCCATCATTGCTGTAAAATGAAAATGGACTTCTATGAACACGTTTTACTTTTACATCCTCTAATATTAAAATAAATTATTTTTACCTTCGATAGACCATTGATAAAGTTGAATCTGTAAATTTGTTATGATAGAATCAGTCTTAATCTGATTTTGCCACTTTTGTCTAAGTTCCATTGCTACCTCTTGACACGGTTCAATCATTAAATTAGTTGGATCCGGTATTAACATCACTTTGTTTAAAATTTTCCGAAAATGTATCCATTCATCGCCATTCCTGTCAACAAAGAAAAGTATGTTCCATAATTTAGGAAAAAAAATTTGAATTCTTTTTCATTTTCTTTATTTACTATTTATATTTTTTCAAAAAAGAAAAGCACTTAAAGTTACTATACATGAACAGTAAACCGCGACGACATTTCCGTATTTGGTTGTAAAGTGTCCAAGCTTCCGGTAAGAAGTGTTTTGGTGTTGAACCTTCTAGTCGAAAGATTCTACGAAATTCGTGGGTTGAGTTTACAAAAACTGCAGTAGTTGGTCCTATCCGTTCTCTATAAACGGGACCTAATTCCCTGTGCCTTCTGTCAACATATTCGTGTTGCCTTTTTGGACCGCCAGAAAGAATAAATGAGAAAAGGGTTCCAACCACGGGAACTCCTCGAGGTTCTGGTGCTTCCTGTAATATACTTCCGGTCTCTGTTGCTGCTACAATACCATAATTTCTGTCGCGCAATTTCTCTGTGATTTCTACTTTCGATCGATTCGCGCCATCTGTAGATTTCGAGATATCGGACAAATCATCGATTCTTGATGCCTGTGACGCGCCTGCGTAACCGCAACCAGGCACATAATATTTTAACGCGGTAACACTGTTACAAACGTTTATAGATTTATCACTTTTAAAAATATTTTGTGTAACATTCATCTTCATAATGCGCAAATGATTCTTCCTTATCAAGCGTTAACGCGAATGTAAGTGATAAATATAGAACACCGATAATATGATCCGGTATTATTTTACATCGAATGCATGTTATAGGACACGTATTAAATTTGAAACTTCCATTTTGCAGACGAATCGATTATTTTTAGTCGCAGACATGACTTCACTGGAAAATAACTCGTTTATACTAGTATTATTTTGCTTTCTCTAGTATCATGCTTGATAACTTCACTCCAATTCGATGATGACGTTGATGACAGTTCAAAGTGATGATAGTATCTTTTTTATGATCATGGTATTAATACATATGTCTCTTGTAATAATGTAACCAATTGCAATTCTTTTATAGTAAATACAATGATAGTTTATAAACGTCAAATGGGAACTTTGAAATACTCTACATTCACTACAACAATTGTTGCGGTTTCCGGTCGTAACCGGAAGTAGACACGGTAACGGAAACTATTGGATTATAAAAAAGCTGGAATCCACGGAAAATACGTAAGTTACACCGATTACAAAACACTGGTACACACGTGAAGAAGAAGATCGAATACCGTTTACTATGCCGTTATCTAGAAGCCGTTTACCCCTCCGCTGCAGGTTTCCACTTTCTTCCACGAGAATTCCTTCGCTTCGTGATTCACTACATTCTTATTTTCACCGATTACAGTGGCGTCGAGATTAACATAATTGCGAGCGATTAATGTAAATTACCATTCGTAATACTTCATCGGTTGTCTTATTATTATTTCAATAATTATTGCCAATTATTTCGTATGATATAGATCGCATGTGTTCAACTGATTGTGATTTCATGATATCAAGACGACGCTAGTATTAGAGAAATAATAAACGTACATATATATTGTACTCTGTCAAACATACGAAGAATAGTGTTGTTCTTGAAGTGTACTTCTAAGTCTTACACATATATATATATATAGTCATTAGTTTATAATTACAGCAATAACTATAATGACGTGTAATTAAGAAATCGAAATTTATTTTACAGATAAAATCAAATATTAATGTACTGCAATGCAAAAATAGTAGATAGGTAAAAAAACCTTGATTTATTATACAATAATTTCTCTATATATACAACACTGATATTAATTTTACTCTTTGTAAATTTACTAGTATTAGATTCAATCGTTTAAACCTTTCTATAAATATTTTGTCGCACTTATCATATACATATATTTTTTATTTTTATATAGATTAATTTATTAAAACCGTTTAGAATAGAATTGAAATATTTCAATTATTTATTGAATGGCACTGAATGCATCAGCTTATTAATTGTTGGCAAACACTATTATTTTCTCACGAACTGATCGTGGCTATCCCCGAGTCCATGACGCCCGACTACTGCACACTGTTTAACAGTTTCGAAGATATTTAAATCTCCTGCT